TGTTTGTTGTGGGGGAGGAGGGGAAAGGTGATTGTTAGCCGCTATGAGACTCCTTAGGATAGTGATAAAGCGGGATATCAAATCTAAACTCCTCCTCCTCCTCCTCCTCCTCTTCTTCTTTCAGCAGGGGACCGGTCCACTGTCCCTCAGACCTTGTGGGGGGCCAGACTATATATATATATTTTGGGGGGAGAAATGAACGAATTCCTATGCCCCACAAATAACTCAGAGATGCATTTTAAATAAAAGCACACAACCCCAAGCCATACAACTAGGAAAAAATGTGTGTGTGTGGTGGGGAAATCAATTTATTTATATCAATAGCCATCCTTCTAATTGTTCTGAAACTACGTAGAAAGAGGGGAAACAGTTTTAAAAGCAGGTGGGGGTGGGGAATCAGCCACAAGGAAACAAGGAGGAAGGATATTGACAAGCCAGTAAGTCTGCAAATGAGTTTCTGGAGATGAAGCCTTATGAGGAATAGTTGAAGGAGAAGAGGAGACTGAAAAGTGATAAGAGAGCCATCTTCAAATACCTGCAGGGCTGTCACATGGAAGGTGGAGCAAGCTTGTTTTCTACTGCTCCAGAGGGTAAGACCCAAACCAATGGATTCAAATAACAAGAAAGGAGATTCTTACTAAAATGAGGAAGAACTTTCTGACGGTAAGAGCTGTGTGACAGTGGAATGAACTCCCTCGGAACATGGCAGGCTCTCCTTCATTGGAGGTTTCTGAACAGAGGTTGGGTGACCACCTGCCAGGGATCCTTCATCTGTGACTCCTGCTTGGGAACCCATTCCTACAGTTCTATGATTCTATAAACTCTGATGGAATTGAAGGATGGAGTAGGTTTAGGAGGCTGCAAGGACCCACAGGTTTCCACCTGTTGTCTAGCCTATATATTCTCTACTCTGAGAGGCAGTAGTTTTCTGGGCCCTCAGGCAGAAGCCTTTCCCATTAACTGCTATGTGACCCATTTAATACCAGGGATTGAACCTGGGACCTTCTGCATGCAAACACGTCCCCTTCTGTGAAGCTGTGCTCCCACTTCTTGCCCTCCTGCAGTCACTGTGACAGATTCAGAATGCTGTCCGCAGCTACTAACAAATGCATTTTTTGTTTTTACATGCACACATTTGCATGTAGGAAATAGCAAGAAACCCACATGTACGTTGTGGGTGATTGCACACACTGTGGCATTTGTCACTGGTGTGTACATGTGTACAGTAGCACTTTTATGCCTAAGACTGCAATCCTGTGCACCCGGTCTACAAAGTCCCCCCATTTAATTCAAAAGCACTTATTTCTGAGAAAATTTGCAAGGGATCACGTTGCACAGCTTTAATGGTGGCACTGACAAGACCTATAATAGCTCTGGCATTCCATTTAATTGAAATAATTAACTGTGGGCTTCTGGTTGCACTATTTAAAGCTGCAAAATCCCCTGGATCTCCCAGCAGTTTTGTCCCACTGAGACACTGAATGTCTGGAATGTCCCTAGCTGTGCAGGTCAAACAGTGCAGAATCAGCATCTGGTGTGAGTACCTTTCCCTGATATCTTAATTGCAATGGTCTTTCTTTACTTATAAAAGCTGGCTGGACATGAATGTCATGGTCCATGTACAGAGTGCCATTAACTTCTCAGGTTCAATTCACCTTGAGACTCCTTGAGTGGAGAGAGAGAGAGAGAGAGAGAGAGAGAGAGAGAGAGAGAGAATATTGCACAAGTTAGCACCTTTCCTTTTCCAAATGAAGACCTATTAGAGTGTTATGCATGGGTGAGAAAAGCTTCTCTTCCAAAAATTCTCTCTTCTGTACGACTGTTAAGGGCACAGAAGCCTTGTCCTTTGTATCAGGTCACCCTAAATGCTGTGCCAGACTTAAAAAATAATAATTCTGATGTATGTGTACACACACACAAACACGCACATGCAATAAATTGCCACCAGCACTCTGGTGCCTAGAAGCTTTCACTGTCTCCCTATGTTATTGGGCTGATTAAAAGGGTCTTGTATTCCTTTACAAGGTTCTTAATAACTTGGGCCCAGGATACTTTAAGTACCCAGGGTTGGAGCTTGGCAAGACGTAGGTAGGAGTTACTTTGACACCCCCCCTTTCTTAAAAAGGTAGGGTGGTCTCTAGTCTTGATAGATGAGCATCCCTGCCATATCTTTTGGAATACCTCTCCCTATGTGAACCTACCTGGACCCTCTGATTGTCACCTGAGGCACTTCTTGGGGGCCCTCCTCTCAGGGAGGCTCAGAGGGTGATGACGAGTGCCATTTTTTCTAGAAAAAAGAGGTGCCAGAACTCACCATGAAGGCCTCCCTTGTTCTCTTATGAATGGCAATTGCACCCAGCTGAGAGGTGCCAGATCTGAGTTCAGGTGATTTCCAGCTGAAAACCAGCCCTGGATGACAGAGGGTCTTTTTGGTTATGTCTCCCTGCCTGCGGAATGCCCTCCACAGCAAGGTCCACCTGGTGCCTTTGTTGACATATTTTTGGAAGCAGGTGAAAACATGCCTCCTGGCCCCAAGGCCTTTCATAGACTGAGTTAAGCCTATTGTATTGTTAGTGCCAAAGCTTTCTAACATTGTTTGGTGGGGGCTGTTTTTTAATATTTTGTATGGAATGTTAATGTTATGGGGATTTTTCTTCTCTATGGCCTAATACGTTTATGCATATGTTTTTAAAATCACTTGTAGGGAACATAATAATAATAATAATAATAATAATAATAATAATAATAATACATTCCCTCTTTATGTGGATTCCCAAAATAAATGCACCCAGAGGACCCACTTTTCTAAGATACACCTCAGCTCCCCACAATTTGTCCCATTGCACCACAAGGGCTAGAAACCTGAACACCAAGCCACCCCCCCTCCCTCCAGGCCACCCCCCCACCAACTTCCTCAAGTGCTTTCGCCTGGCTGAAAATACCATTGCACATAGCTGTCAACTTTTCCCTTTTCTTGTGGGGAATCCTATTTGGAATAAGGGAATTTCCCTTAAAAAAAGGAAAACGTCGACAGCTATGCATTGCACTGTGATAGTGTCTATTGGAAGTTGTAAATATATTTGTACATGTGTGTGCAGCAACCTCCAGCGGCCCTCTGCATGAAGCAAGAGTCACACATGACCTGTTGCTCCATCCACTTTTGCCTCTGGCCCCGCTCACTACTGCTATGTGGCCCCAGAAGGTTGCCTATGAAGGGACATGGCCCTTGGGCTGAAAACAGTTCCCCCTCCCAGCTGCAGCATAACCCAGACACAAAGAAAAGTAGGCAACCAGAGGAGCAGGTGCGACTCTCAATGGCTGGCGCGATGCGAGTGGGTTTAGCCTTCACCCCAATGGTGTTTTCAGTTGCACTTTTCACATATCAGAGCAAGAGCCAAGGGCTGCGTAGTAGGGATAATGGGCTGGGATAAACATCCCGCCTCCGCTTAAGCACACAGGGAGCTAGCTGCCTTTTACCGAGTCAGAACAGTCTCCCATCTAGCTCTGTACTGTCCACACTGATTGGCAGCATCTCTCGAGGGTTTCAGACAGGAGGGCTTTCTCATCTGGGACCCAGTGGGGAAGTGAGGTGATTTTATATTATGGACGTTATGGTCTTTATAACATCCCACTTTACACAGAAATGCAGGAAGCTGCCTTGTATTGAGTCAGATCATTGGTCCACCCAGCTTAGCATTGTCCATCCTGGCTGGCAGAGGGTTTCAGGAAGGGGACATTCCTGGAGATGCTGGGACATTCCTGCACTAAACTGCAGCCCTTCTCTTTAGATGGATAAGGCCAACGGCCCATCTATTCCTGCACCCTGTTCTCCTAGTGGCTTCTTTGGGGGAAGCCTAGTATTACGTCACTCCAAAACGCAGTAAGCCAGCCCTGATGCATTCGGACCGCCTCCTCCTGCTCGTTCTGCTGAGTGGGTCCCCGGACTTCTACCCGCAGCCCTGCCTTGAAGGTCTCCGCTCCTGGGATCGTCTGCATGCAAAGGATGTGCTCTGCCACTGAGACAGCACGACTCCCATGAGAGGGTCCGGGAGGGTAGGGCTGCTGCAATGTGCCTCTGAGTGGGAAGCACGCCCCCCTCCCGGACTTTCCAAGATCCAAGACACCCCCTCCCCAAACCTCTCCGTCCATCATCATGACTACGAGCATTTTGCTAGGGGGCGAACCCTGCAGACCCTAAAACTCAATTGTGGAGTGGGGGGGGGGGAAATCAACCACACTCAGAATATTGGGGGAGAGGGAAAAGGTTACCAATTCCGGCATGCAATACACACAGGCTCCCCCAAAGCAAACCTTGGTCGTTGGTGGCAGGGGAAGGAGGGAGACCAGCAGGAACGGAGGGCTGGTGAGGGAGAAGAGAGGAGTTTCAGCTGCAGGAGCGCAAGCAGGGCGAGTGGGTGAAAGGCTGACAGCTCCGCCATCCCACTCGGGGATCGGAGTCATCGGCAGGAGTGTGGGAAGCGGCGGGCGAAGCGGAGAGCAAGTGCATCGGAGCTCTGGAAAGGGGCATCTCCTCCTCTTCCCTCCCTTCTCCTCCACACCAGCTGCAATGGGGACCTCTGCAGAGCTGGGGCTGCAGCCAGCACCCCGCCCCCCCCGCGCTGCACGGACCCCCTCCTCCTTGCTGCTCCCCTTCACCCTGCTCCAGGGAGCCCCCTCCTCTTGGGGAACCGGCCATGCAGCTTGAGCAGGGAGGGAGAAAGGGAAGGAGGGAGGAAAAGGCGGCTGGGGAGGGAGAGAAGGGGGGAGGCACCCAACTCCTTCTCCTTGGCATTGCGCATGATTCTGCGGCTCTGTGCATTGCACGCTCCAACCCACCTTGGGGGGAGGGGGAGGAGGGGGATGCTTCTCTCCCTCCCTCCCCCCTCCCTAGCGTTGTCTGCGCCCGGAGCCAATGGGGGCCCGCCTCTCTTCCCGGCCGTCCAATCGTCGGCCGGCGGGGGCGTCGCCCAGGAGGCTCAAATGGCCCAGGCTAGGCTGCGCGCCGGAGAGGAGTTGTGCGCTCTGGCTGGCGCTCGCTCGCTCGCTCATTGCTGGCTGTGCGTTCCGCGAGCCGCGCAGGTGCCGCTGCACGTCGGGGAGAGGCAGGATGGCGAGGGCGGCGGGGAGGCAGCCAGGAGGAGGGCTGCGGAGGGCATGAGAAGGAAGCGGAGACGAGGGGGAGGCAGCGCGCCTTGTGCACTCGCCCCGGGCTGGCTGGGCTGGGCAGATGAGAAGGTCCCCGGCAGGGCAGGGCGCTTTGCAGCTAGGATGATGCTCCTGGTCGGCGGGCGGTAGTACTATGATTTGGTATGTGGCCACTTTGATAGCAAGTGTGATCAGCACCAGAGGACTGGCAGCAGCTCAAGGTGAGTTGAAGTGCACCGGGTCCCCCCCTCCACCCCCCTGCAGCGGTTTCTCCTTTGCGCTCTGGGCTGGCCTCTTTGGGCACCGGGAAAGCTCTCCGGGCTGACGCTTCCTGTGTGGACCTTCCTTCTCTCTCTCTCTCTCTCTCTCTCTCTCTCTCTCTCTCTCCACCTTTCATCTCTCATTTGTTACCTGTATCCCTTCGATTCGGGAAAGGATGCTCGGCTTTTCGTCCGCCGCGCCGCCGCCTTCGCGCAAAAGGAGTTTCCCTTGCGAGTAGGGGAGCGCTTCAGATTGTAAGGAAAAGAAAAGAAGAAATACTCACAAATAAAAAAGGCAGCATGCTTTCTGCTCCCCGCCTTCCTCCCCGGAGAGGGGTTGGTTTCAGAAATGGTTAAGTGATACGGTTTCATCAGTACAGTAAAAAACATTAAAAAAAAATAAAAATCAGCCAAAGGTGCGATGAAGCGAGAGCAGGACTTGAATAAGTCTTTTGCAGAGTTTTTGAAACCTTGGACCGTGGCTCGTTCTTGGTCTTATTTTATTTTTGTTTGCCTGGTTTTTCTGTAACGATTTCAGAGGAAGGTTTGGCAGAGAGCATGTTGATGGACTTTGCAGAAAGGTGTGCAATTGACCAGTGCATGTTCGTGATCCAAGGAACGTATGAGTCCGTGATCTAGCAAGAGGACGATTATTTTATTTAATGCTGAAGTTGCTTAACAAAGCAGTGCTGTGAAGGCTGCAATCCTGTACATGCTTACCGATGATGTAAAGCCCTACTGAACGCTGCAATGCTTGCTCATATGTAAGATCTGTTTGCCTGGAAGTCTAAGCTACTTCCAACCTCTCTTTTCTGAATACTCTAGGGAGAGCTAGAGATCCTGGGTCAGTGATGAAGTATGTGAACCTTTTTCACGTGTGTGTGACCTGTCACTAGGTAGCTGCCTGCAGTATTTTTCTTGGGGCAGAGAGATCACCATTGAAAGTGAGATTTCTAGTTTCACATGTTCATCAGAAAGTAATCCATCTGGGCTTTGTATTTAAATGCGATCCTGGGTAGTTACCGGTAAATACTAAGATATAGAGAGTTGGTTAGCTCATTTTTTCCCCCTTGCAGGCATGAATAAGCTTGTGATTCAATAGAAGATTCTAACTTTACTTAAGAGATGACGAACTGGATTTCCGAGAGGTTGGGTAGGATGTTTGGCAAAAGGCAATTCTCACCGCGTTGTGCTGCAGTCTCTGGTTTCAGGGCTTTTTCATTGGTGCCACCAGTGCTGTGGAATGCTCTCCCAGCTGAAAAGGAGAGGTTTCATCAGTATTGGCATTCTGCCGGCTCCTGAAGACACACCTGTTTAGGTAAACTGGCCCCCAAAACTGAACTTCAACTTTCATTTTTTAAATTTGTTATTTAAAAAAAAGCCTGTTCAAATAGTCAAGGCTTTCAACTTGTGCTATTCTGTATTTTATTTAGTATTCTCTTAAATGTTCTGAGCAAATTGCTACTGGGTATTTTAACCATGTATGTATTTTATAATGGATTTTATAGCTGTGAACTGCTACGAGCAGTATATAAATAAATACCCATATTAATAAATATATATATGTGCCTCTTGCCATTGCAGTGCAAGGACTGTGCGGGTGAATATACAATTTGCTCAGGGGGCTTAAAGTTTGCAGCATAAACCTATACATTCTTTCTTGCCCAGTGAATCAGCCTTGGTTATGTATGATTGTTAAGTACTTAAATGGTTCTGAACAGCATCTGGGGGAAAGGTTAGAGTAGCAGTAGCCTTGAGCATTTTATGAAAATGCTAATCATTTTTTAAAAATGACCTCTGTGGAGGGCAGTCAACCCAAACTCAAGCGTATGAAAGCTTAGCTCATAGATGGCCATTGTGTGCAACGTATGGGATGGAAGACACCTGAATGTTGCTGGTGGTGCTGGGGGAGAGTGGGGTTGCAGGGAATGACCACTCTGAGACATTTCTTTCAATAAGTTAACCAGAGAGAGCTGCTGTCTGGAAGCAGGCAATGCTGCAGCCCTGAGGTCCATGAGTGCAGAGTACGAAATAGCGGAAGGATAGTGGGTTTGTCTCTCCACTCTCCTGGAGGCTGGCACAGAGCCGGCTGGCATGACATGCACACCTTACAATTTTTTCAGTTGAGAGCTGGTGTCCAGCTATGCAACCCAGCCTGCAAGTCACTAGTCCACCACACTTACCTGTACATCGTTTATGTGGCATGTCAGCACCCTGCAACAAGGGCACACAACTCCTCCCAGCTCACAGAAGCTGTTCTCCTTGGTTGCTTCGAAGTGACATTGTTTGCCGCAGGTGACCAGGCACGCTCACCTGCCTGATATAACCTCTTGTTGCTTTGGGTCAAGGGCCTCTGGCCAGCTCTCCCCTTTGGTTTTGGGGAAAGGATGGTCTTAAAAATGATTTTTAGTAAAGCTTGGCTGTTCTTAAGGGATGGTGTCAGGCGTACATTTCCAGGATTAGCATATGTGGCTCTCTAAACAAATTTCCCGCAACCATGTTCACGAACCATTAGTTTAATTGCATTTCTCCGGTGTCATTTATTTTCTGGTTGCTAAGCACCTTGCATTAGTGTGTTTAGTGGGAATCTTCCGTCAGAGGCTAGTGTCGCTACCCCTGCATTGCCAGATGTGGTCTGCATGTGCAGCAGTATGAGGTGGGAACAAGGTGCTTCAGACTGCAGGTAGCAGTACTGGTGAATTGCATTATGGAACTCCCTGCAAGCAGAACACTAGCACAACAGGGAAGGGGCTGGGATCTCTCCCTGAAGCCCTAGGTTTTTTTTACTTGCACATTTTTGGGGGGATGGGGAATGGATGGGAAGCTGAGTTGTGGCAGAGACCCGATTTCCCACCCTGTAACTTTGCTTTGCCTGGCATAATGTTTTATTTGGAATAAATAATGCTGATGCAAGGCATTAATGCCTGCAAACCTGAATATGCTTATTTATTTCCTCCAAGGAGATCAAGGCAGCATGCATGGCTCTCCTCCTTCCCATTTTTTATCGTCACAGCAACCCTGTGAGGTAGGTTAGACACTGTGGCTGGCCCAGGAGTGGAGGCTTTGTGGCTTGCATCTACATAGGTGGCTGAAATCAGGGAGGAGAGGTCCATAGCTTAGTGGTGGCACAGCTGTTTGGCATGCGGAAGGTCTTGGGCTCGGTCCATGATACATCCAGTTAAAAAAATCAGGCTGGAACTTATGGGAAATGCCTTTTCTAGAGAGCTGCTGCCCATTAGCATAGGCCAGAGTGGCCTGGAGCAATATTTCCCAGTTTGGTGCCCTTGTTGGACTCTTGCTCCCATCATCTCTGACATTTGGCCGTGCTTGCTGGGGGCTGATGGACACTGGAGTCCAACAGCATATGGAAGGGTGCCAGATTGGGAGAAATCTGTGCTAGAGGAATAAGCCATGCAGAGTTGGGCAAGGCCAGTTTGCACCAGGAATTTCACATTCCTGAGATGCTCAGTGCTGCGGATGCATTAGAACCAGCTCAGACAGCTGGATCACCTAGCTTGGCACTGTGGTCACCATGGCAGAAACTCTCCAGCTTTAGGATCTCAGTCAGGGTTCTCTTATTTATCTGCTTATTTATTGCAGTTTTAGACTGTCGTTCAGCCCACCAGATCCCAGGGTAGTGTAGAAAAGTCTGCAGCAGTGGTGGGAAACCTTTGTCTTGGGGGTGTAATTAGGAATTGGAGATCTGCCCACCAAGATACTTTGGGAAGCTGCCCCCACCATGGTGTGGACATCCATCCACTCCTGGATGTCCAATCAAGCACAATGTTGGAAGATTCAGGACAGATAAAAGGAAGTACTTTATGCAGTGCATAGTTAAATTGTGGAACTCCCACAGGAGGCAGGCATGGCCACCAATTTGGACGGCTTTAAAAGAGGGACTGGACAAATGCACAGAGGACATGGCTATCAACAGCTGAAAGCCATAATGGCTATGCTTTGTCTCCTCTGCCAGAGACAGCAATATTTCTGAATACCTGTACCAGTTTCTGTAAACTGCAGGAGGGGAGAGAACTCTTGCTTGCTGGTTTCCCACAGGTACCTGGCAAGCCCCTGTGAGAACAGGATGCTGGACTAGACAGATCACTTGCCAGATCCAGCAGAGCTCCTCTTGTGTTCTTTCCTGCCCCTGACATCATATATAATGTCAGGCACAGCGAAGTTCTAGCTGTGGTTGCTGCAGAGGAAGAACTGGAAGAGAGCTCAGAGCTCCTATTCCTGCCCCCCTGCAGCATGAATGCAAACCAGGGCTCCAAAGCAACAGACCCTCCTTTGCAGTTCCAGTCACAGCTGCAAAGGAGGAACCGCTCCTGATTATTCTCCTGCAGCCGGGGTCCTCCCCTTGCAGGATTGGACTGGGGACCTTCTGCATGCAAAGACCTTGTTCCACTGCACTGCAGCCCCACCACTGAAGAGCTGATTAACAAGTTATGCTCTGGCTCCTACCATCTCTCCATCCGGCGGTGGACCTATCGGACCATGTAGGAAAGGCTTTTTAAGCAGTCAAACCAGCTTGTCCTCTTGTGGCTAGTTGGGATTGTCTCCTAGGGACTATACAGTGAAATGTGTGTAAATGTTGCTGCCTTCCCCTCTCTTCAGACTGGCGTCGTGCCAGAATCACAGGTGTGCATGGGCTGGTATCAATCTTTATAGGCTTGTAAATCATTTTATTGGCATATTTACACAGCCAGCACAGCGCAACCACCTGTAAGCAGAAATATCCTTCTCTCCCCACAACTCCAGTGGATCATCCCATGCTGTCCAAAGCAGACGATTCCATCAGCAAGTGATAGTCGTGCAGCGTTTGCCAACCTGGTGCCCTCCAAATGTTGCTGTTGTTGAACTCCCATTCGCCCCAACCAACATGGCCCATGGTCAGGGATGGAGGACCACAGATGCTCCATCCTTGTAGTCGACAACACCCTACAGCAGGGATGTGGAAC